ACTGCTTTTTTAACACCATGAAACAACACTTGAACTCATTAAAAACACGTAACCAGATGTACTCTTCCCGTCTTCCATATCTCCGACATAGTCGCTACCTGTAAATGCCAAAAACTCACTATCTCCTCATTTCTTGTAATGAATTCCATAGTTCACAGTCCCTTTTAAGTATCGAAGTGCTATCTTAGCTGCCTGTAGATGAATCTCCATTGGTTTTGCCATATATCTACATATGAGACAAGTAGCAAACATCATGTTAGGTCACGTGGCAATGAGATACATTAAACTTCCCACCAGCTACTTGTAGCTCATCAACAAAGTCTCCATTTTTGTCTCTGCTTATTTTTAAACCTAAAACTATTAGATTTGCCATTGAATTACTTTCCATCTAACCAAACTTTCTCAAAACCTCCAATGCATATTTCCTTTGGCGTATATAAATACCATCAGACTTTTGTACCACCTCCATCCCAAGAAAGAACCTCATCTTCTTCAAGTCAGACATATCAAACTCTCTTAACATAGAGCTTTTAAATTCAGACATCATAACTTCATCATTACCAGTAAAAACTAAATCATCAACATAAACACTTACAATGATTATTTTTCCTTCTCTGCTTCTCTTTGTGAATAATGTCTGCATGCTATCACACCTCCGAAACCCTTTACCAATGAAATGTGCTTCGATTCGACTAAACCAAGCTCGAAGAGCTTGTTTTAATCCATACAAGACTTTGTGTAACTTGTAAACTAGATGTTCACTGCCCTTTTTTCATATCCTCTTGGACGTTCCACATAAACATCTTCACTTAGCTCACCATGGAGAAAAGTCTACTTGACATCCAGCTGAAAAATTGTCCAATTCTTCTGTGCAGCTAAAGCAATAATCATCCTTATTGTATCCATCCTTGCCACTGGTGCAAAAACTTCTGTATAGTCCACTCCATACTTCTGAGAATATCCTTTAGCGACTAAATTAGCCTTGTACTTATCAATCTTTCCATGCTCAATTGTATTTGGTTTTGTAAACCCACTTCACTCCTATACTTTTGGCCCCAGCCAGTAGCTCAGTGAGTGTCCATGTTTGGTTTTTTTTCGATGGATTTAATTTCACTGTCCATGGCCAATCTCCAATTTGCACTTTTCACAGCTTCCTCAAAAAATAATGGATCAGTTGACACCTCTAATGCCATATGAACTTCATCATCAAAAAGACCTTCACCACTAAAATAATCACCCATCCATGTAGGAGGTTACCTCTCACGAGATTACCTCAACTCCCCCACTCTCTCTTTACCCTCACTAGAACCATCTTCCTCTTCTCTAACTCCCTTATCACGAGTCTTTCCTATCTCTCCATCAGTACTTTCTCCATTCCCATTTTCACTCACCCCTTCTTCATTCTTACCATCACCATCACCCCATTCTAAGTCTACTACTATTTGTTTTTCATAACTCACATCCCAATCCCATTGCTTTTTTCCTTAAAAAATTACATCTCTACTCACAATAACTCTCTTATCTTAGCAATAGGATTGAATAGCCTGTAACCTTTTGATTCCTTACTAACTCCCAATAGCACAAAAGTATTGCTTTTATTATCAAGGTTAGTCCTCCTTTCTTCTGGAACATGAACGTGTGCTATGTAACCAAAGACTCGAAAATGATCTACTAAGGGTTTCACTCCACTCCAAGCCTTCTGGTGTAACATCCTTGACTACCAATGTGGGATACCTGTTTAGGACATAAATAGTCCAATTCATTGCCTCCAGCCAAAAAGTCTTGAGAATATTATTGTCAGATAACATGGAACGAACCATGTTAATCACAGTTCTATTTTTCCTTGCAACTACACCGTTTTGTTGCGGAGTATAAGCGGTGGTTAGCTACTTCTTAATTCCACTTTGTTTGCAAAAATCATTGAGCGCATTTGAATTCTCCTCCTCTATCAGTGTGAAAACACTTAACAAATAACTCCGTTTCTTTTTCAATCATAGTCTTAAAGCATTTAAAAGAATTTAAAGCCTCTGACTTCTCTACCAAGAAATACACCCATGCTTTTCTACTATAATCATCAATGAATAACAAAATGTACCTCTTTTTGCTATTAGATGTAGGAGTGATCAGACCACAAATATCTACACGAATAAGTTTCAACTACTGAGTTACTCTCCAAGTACTCTTCTTTGGAATAGGGTCACAGTGTTGCTTCCCGTTAAAGCAATCAGTGCATGTCACACTTGAGGCAGAGGGTTGAGGAAGTCCACGTACCATGTTCTTGTACAACAAGGTTCTCAAACCCTTGTAACTCAGATGCCCATACCTCCGAAGTTAAAGATGAAATAAGTTTTGAGTTCTTGTGTGACAACACTGTTCAAATTGTACTTGAGAGGGAGCTTGAGACCGAGGCAGCAAGATAAACATCCGATTGGCACTCATGTTGGTTTAAATTATCAATCCCTTCCCTGGATGAAATATCTTGCTCATCCCTCCCTTGATCAAAATAGCCAAGCCTCTTTCTTGCAATTGCCCTATGCTCAAAAGATTATTTCTCAATTTTGGAATATAGTATACCTCAGCAACAACATGATTGACTCCATTCAGTAGTAGCTTCACACTATCCTTTCCCATCACATCCATCTTAGTGTTGTTCCCCAATTTTACCAAATGTTGAAATTTTCCATTGAATTCATTGAACATAGTTCGATCGCCGCACATGTGATTAGAACACCCTGAATCAAGGAACCATGCAACTTCTCTTCCACAGAAGACATCAAAAGCATTTCTTCTTCCCCATCCAGCTCTGCATAATTTGCTTCTTTGATCCCAAAAGGACATTCATACTTAAAATGTCCAAGTTAATTGCATCGGTAACACTCCACAATTGCTTTTTTGAAGTCTGCTTGACCTCTCCCTCTCCCTCTTCCTCTGTAGGTACCACGACCACGACCTCTCCTTCCTTCAGCTGTCACTTTCAAAGCCCGTTCCTCACCATTACGTCTCTGAAACTTCTGTTCATGCACTATTAATGAGCTTTGTAACTCATCAACAGTAAGAGCATCAATGTCCTTTGACTTCTCAATAGAACATACAATATAGTTGAACTTCTCAGTTAAAGAGCATAAAATTTTCTCCACCACTTTAACATCCTGCATATCTTCTCCATAAATTCGCATCTTGTTGGGCACTTTCATGACCCTAGAGAAGTACTTTGTCACCTTTCACCAGACCTCATCTTAAGAGTTTCAAATTCTCTATGGAGAGCTTGAAGATGAGACCTCTTGACCCTTTTATTTTGATAAGTGTGTTTTCACACACTTATTTAGCTCACTAACATGACTTAAACATGGACAAAATAGTCGAATTATGACTTAATCTTATTAAATTCATGCTATGTAGGTGTTTCTATGGAAAAGATGGAATTCAGAAGAAAAGAGCCGAAAAAGGACCAAAACAGAACAAAGCGATAGATCGAGGACCAAGTTGCAAATAATCCATAGATGAGACGGGAAATGAAATGAAGATTCAAGAGTGTTAAAGTTCAATCGGATGAGGAAAGGAATCAAGAGGTGAAATATGGTCGAAGTATTATCAAGTATCAAATTTCAGGCGAAAAAGTTATGCTCGTGATTTTGAGTTTCTACTTGAGATCCATTTTTGACATAGTAAAAATCAGAATTTGAGGAAGCCTATTTCTATCAAAAGTGTACATCTTTGAGTTTTATTCCCAATGCACTTTGAATCACCTCAATCAGAGATTAGGAGAGAAATTTATGACCAAAATACTGAAAGCTGTCCGGAGGAAAAATTTTATAACCATGCGGCCGCATGGTTATAATTCCTTGCGGTCGCACAGGGTATTGCAGGGATCCAAATGAGTTGAAAAATTGAACCATGCGACCGCATGGTTTAACACCATACGGCCGCATGGCTTTAAGGTCGATAAAAAATTCTGAAATCCCGTTTTTAATTGAAACTCTTTCGGGGCTCCGTGGGGACATGATATAAAAGCCAAAATTCATCAGAAAAAGGGCAGAACGTCCAGGGAGAAGAAGAATACAACTTTTGGAGACAAGGAACACAAACTTGAAGCCGATTTCACAAGGATTCAAAGGGGTTTTCAAGGTTTTGTTCAAGAATTCAGATTTCAAGAACTTTCATACGGGTGTTATTCCTTCTAATCATTAATTTCGTTTTGTTTTCTGTAATTATGAATCTTCTAGGCCAGGGTTTTAATTACTAGGTGATCGATGAACCGTTGTTTGTTATTTTAATTCTATATTTCATGAACTTGATATAAAGATTCGTTTGATATTTTGATTGATTTACATGCATTAATTTTCTTCCGCAATTAGTGGCCAATGATTGTGTGAGTATTGATGACTTGTTTCTTACATTCGAGAGAAGTGGAATAGGTTCGATAAGGTGTAAATTAACATAGGATCCGATAGGGGATAGAGATATACCCCTATGCTTTATGTAATTCTTAAATTGTTCACAAAACTACATGAATTCTTGTATGTTTGCATCATCCATAGAGATATAGGCTGGTGGTGTGCAAGAATAGGTCTAATATATATCGAGAGAGTATATTGGATAGAATAGGAACATTGAATTGGCAAATTTTCATCGAATCATTAATTTTATGAAATTAGGGTTTTTATAACTTCAATTGGGGATTTGTGATTCTAGTGACTTTAATTTGATTCATTTTAATAAATTAGCTTTTAAACTTGCTTAATTTCATTTACTTGAGTGTTTAAGTCGTTTAATTAGAGAAATTTCGAAATTAGGGTTTCTAATTGAGAAATTAGGGTTTTCAATTGAAATTAGGGTTTTTAGTTGAAATTGGGGCTTTTTGCACTTAGATCACATTTTCACTCAATTAGATTCGGTTAAGGCTAGATTAAATAGAATTTAACTACTCAATCTCTGAGGGACGATATTCGGACTTTTAAAAATCCACTTTATTACTTGTTACGAACCGTACACTTGCGGTAGTTTTAAATCGAAAGAATTATTTCGTGAACACATTTCCTTTAAATTTTTCTTCATGGCGTCCCATATATATTTGGCAATGTTCTTCCTGAGAATGGTGTCAAGAACGGTCCAATAGATTGCCTCGAAGAGATAGTTATTCACTTTCAGGTCCTTCAGCTTCATCTTATCATTCTTCTTTCGTTATGCATCTGTCTGCAACGATTCACTTGCTGGTTCAATAAAGCTAGGCTCCACCAGCCCCCAAAATTCCTTAGATCGCAAAAAAATTTCCATCAGCATGCTCCTATGGTCATAGTGACCATCAAAGCAAGGAATGGCTGGTTGCATAAAACTTCCTTTTGTAGTCATCTTCTGTGCTGCTGCAAGAATTTTAAAGACTGCTGCTTTGATTTGTCAAGCCCAGTGGAGGCTCTGATACCAAATTGATGGAAAATTTGATCTAAAATGAAATTAAGAATAAGAACACAACAAGCTAAATTGAATGACTTAGTTTTATTAACAATAACTTTGGCTTAAATAGCCATTCAATACAAAATCTTTATAGAAACGAGAAAACAGCCCACTTAGCGGAAATAAAGCAAGTGGTAACAGAAACTTGGAACAATTCAAATAAAAGTAGATGTCCCTAAAGACTAGGACTTTTCCTGTAGACCAGAATATTATTCTAACAAAAAACTACCATAAACTCCTTCAGATTTTTGGGATCTTTAGTATTTATACTCCAGCGTCTTCTTTAGTAGTTGGTAGTGATTTTTAGTTTCTGTTTACTGTTTAGGAATTTATATTATTAACCTTGGGAGGCTGCCGGGGTTATTGTTGCTATTGAGAATCCTCAAGACATCATCGTTCAATTTGTCAGACCATATGGTTAGAGAGCTGTCTAAAGTTTGGACAGTACACTGGTGCTCGTGCAATTGCTGGTCCTCATACTTCTGGAACATAGTTTCAGACATCATTCAGTGAGCCACACATTTTGATCCTTACTGACCAAAGAACTAATCATCAAGTGAGTCTTTTAATTAATCCTGGCGCAGTATTCTCTGGATTATCAAATTATTGATTAGAATGTGGGGTTGCTTTTGTTTCATCATGACTATGGTACTTAATGTGATCTTTCTGCAGCCTATTTAAGAAGCCGCGGTTTCTAGCATCCCCACCATTGCTTTCTCTGACACCGATTCACAAATGAGGTATGTTGATATTGGCATCCCTACCAACAACAAAGGGAAACACAACATCAGTTGTCTTTTCTGGCTCTTTGTAAGATGGTTCTGTAAATGCATGGCATCATTGCTCCTGGTCACAAGTGGGATGTGATGGTAAATTGTCTAGAAAATTTTGTTTCTCATACTCATCAGTAGAATTTTGTGCTTTTCTAATGGGACACAATGATTCTTTGAGGATTAGAATTTGCATACTTGGAAGCAAGTGAAGATTATACTTCTTAACAAAATATGTGTAACGACCCGGACCTCTCGCCCAAGCCGTTAACTTACAACGTCCGCCAAGGCCCACTTACTCCTCATGACTTTCTGTCGCGTCCCCCAGGATTCGAACCCATAACCTTCCCCTTAAGTAAGATATTATACTCTTTTTATAGCTCGTGTTAAGCAATATAATTTGGAATCAAGAAAAAATAATTTCGAGCTAGTATGCCAGAGTTATTCTAACATTTTTTTTTTGACCTGACAGTCCATCCTGAAGGATTTAACTTCTTTGCATTCAACCCGAATGCCTTATAGTATCTCATGCTAGAATTTACATACATATCAAGAAATAAAAATTTACCACTTGCACCATGTATTCTTACCTCCAAAGAAATTTTTGAAATTTGGCTTTGTAAATAAAATGATACTCCTTTTTCAGAATACGTGTGTCAATGTGTGTAAATGTGAGAGTGATAGTTTCTGTGCGGTAAAGAAGAATTTTTTTCTTTCATATGATATATAAAGGTAACCACTTGTATTTTTATCTATCACTCAAAACGACAAAACGTATATCAAAACGTACAAATTTTCAGTTGAATATTCAATAGATGATTAATATATTATTTATTTCCATTGGTCACGTCTTATCATGTCTGAATTCTGACGGTTGATTGCCAATTATTAATGGAGTGAGCTTAATGAATGGTTAACATATATTAAATTACAATTCATTTCAAATTCCTAAAAAACACGTATTGGGTATTC